GATTTTTAAAATTTTCTTGGGACTGAAAAAATTCATACCGAGAGATTCTTTTAATTCCTCTCTATATATTCTATTCTCTATGGATCTAAACTAACTAAAAGGAACTTCTTACTTAAATCTGTAATTGTTACCGTTCAAAGGGTGCAAAGTTCAACTATATCTCCACCGTTACTCCGCCTTGACTATAAGCTGCAAATATACAACTTCATTTTTAGACCTTGCTCTCCTTTTAATCAACCCGTACATCAATTTGAAATATGTAACACAAACATTACCCATTTTCAGGCGCACATCATTATTAAATTGAAGTTTGATTTAAGTATCTGGTTCTATAAATGATACTATCCCAGCTACACTGCTGAGGCACATCAGGAGGCCCAGGAGGAGGGCGACCGGGAAGCTCCCTTCCCCTGTTCCAGACTAGAGGCAAGGGAGGCTGTAGCTAACCTGTTCCAGACTGGAGGTAAGGGAGGCTGGAGCTAACCTGTTCTAGACTGGAGGTAAGGGAGGCTGTAACCTTCTACTAACCTGTTCTAAACTGGAGGTAAGAGTGATGGAGCTAACCTGTTCTAAACTGGAGGTAAGAGTGGCTGGAACTGCTACTGCAAATGAAAGATCTTGTGAAGCTTGAACTACAGTGTCCCTAAAAAAAACATAAGAAGTGAAGAAATAAAAAAGAAGTTTTTCGGAAGATAAATATTTATTGAATTCCCCCCCCCCCCCATCCAAGGATAAAAGTTTGCATCCCTATATATATCGCCTTGACACACCTAAATAAAGCAAATAAGTAAGTAAATAAATTGGCCTGCATGGAGGGCCTAGAACATGAGAAATTAATGAATCGATGAACTTCTTATCTTTCTATTTGCTAAGAACGAACAAATATATATGGATGGATGTTTGCATGTGTAATGTGTGTGTATGTTTTATATGATATTAGTTAATTATCTTTAAGATATACAGTTTGTTTCAAAATGTATATAAAGTTTTTAGAAATTTTTTCTTTTACTTTGAAATTTCAGTAAAATTTTAAGAATTTTATTTTGTAATTGAGCGGGTACTATTTCAAAAAAGTAAAACCAGTCAGAATTAAATATTTTTTTTAAGCGATTAATTAAATTTTTAAGTGACCCTTCATGGAAATATGACAATTCCAGATTTACAAGGGTACCCTTGGCCCCTTATTCTGATCAAAAATGTGGAAGATACCGTTGTTTTCCTGTCTCAAAAATTGTTTATTTCTGTGAGTCTCTCAATTCCTTCTTTTAAACAAGAAATGCACAAGTCACTTTTCCTAAGAAACCGCAAATGAAAATAAACAGTTTAAAGAAATAAAAACATTAATCAATAAATGAATAAAAAACTCAGCTTTCAAGGATGACGTTTTAAATTGGGCATTGCAATCCTTGCTTGCAAGGTCACTTGAAATTACGCTTGCAGCTCCGTTTAATGAATGATAATAGGAAAATCAGCAACAGTTTTAATTGTTAGTGTACGCCCTGTATCCTATATATTAATATATAATAATAAACCGATCAAAGTGATTAAAGTTTATAAACTGATTTAACTCCGCCTAATAACTTTCAATCTACCCCCATATACCTTTCATACAGGGTTACCCACAAAGGATGAGACGTCAGAGACGATTATACGAAATTTGTATAGTCCGTTTTCTTGCATTCAGGGTTCCTTGTTGATTTGTATAGTCCGTTTTCTTGCATTCAGGGTTCCTTGTTGACCAAAATTGGTTTATTATTGCTTAATAATTTAGTGAACAAACTAAATACTCAATTGAATGTAGAAACCAAAAATCAAGCTCCAATCAGTATATTTTTAGAGTTTTGGGTCGTCTTTACAGTTTCATCCTTTGTGGGTAACCCTGTATACACTCTGTAGTATATATAACCCTATAATCCCATTCAAACTTTACTCTATGCTCTTGACTTCATAACTTTGTTTATAGCTAAAAGGGACCATTCACTTATTCTATATAATTCTAGGGTAAACTAACTAAACTTATTTGGTAATATTAGTTTTACTTTTCAAAGATAACTGTGACTGTGTTTTTTTTTCTAAAACTATGTTGCTTGTCTGATTTACAAAGGTACCATCAAAATCATTATTTAAGAAAAATATAAGGCTATTGTAATCTTTAATTGCAAATCTCTGTAATATCCAAATATATTATCAAGTACGATAGGTGGCAACAGGGAAATGAACCAATTATATACAACGTCACAAGTGTCAAATATAACAAGGAAAACGAAATTGTTTCACATTAGTTGACATGTTTTCCAAGATTAAATAAAAAGGTATAAAAACAGAGACTAAAGAACACATTAAATTGCACTTATTTTACTGTAAGAAAAGCACCTTATTCTAAAATTATCACTATTATTGATAATTTTGTCGGACACATAAATTGAATTGACACTTGTGACGACAAAATACAACTGTACTGAGAGTGTACAAATTCTAAGTTGCCATCTATTGTACTACAATCTATTTGGTAATTATCTGTAAACGTAGCTTGTGGATCACGCACCCCTGACCCTTTAGTAAAAGAAAATTTAACCTAAAGTCTGACCGCGTCAATGTTGTTGAACCGGCTAGTCTTATTGAGTGTCTGCTTTATTTACCCAATGTCTGGGCGATACAGTACAAACTGGGACCGGAAAAGTTAACCCGGTTCGGAAATTCAATTCAAATGCACTACGGCTGTTCGTGGGATTTGCCATTGTGTTTCTCCATGTCAATCTGATGAATGGCTAAGGGTACCAATGTGAATCTGGCTTTTAGTTTAAAATTCAAAACATTTATTTTGTAAACTGGAAGCAAGTTTCATGAATAATGCATAATTTAAGGCATAATGTTCTGCAAACTTTTTATCTAAATTTAAATTGCCTGCAAACTAATTTAACTTTTTATAATATACCTTAAAATACTTATTAACATATCCTTAGTTTAGAAAATACTAGCTATATAATATTATATATTATATATATTATATTTCATATTTGCAAACTATGGCGAAAAGTCAAAATCTTTATTAGATACATGATTACTCGCTTCAAACTATAATTTTCTAATTATTAAACCTTTTTCAAACTAATAGTGCAAACCTTTGATATTTGACATCAGTGCATGGAACTTTTGTGTTGTAGATATCGATATCAATGTTTGATCTAGATCTTTAGTTAATCTGCAGATTAATTTAATCTTTATTCGATATCCCGCATGGTAATCGTACCCAGTTAAGGGTAAAAAATAAAAACGGGTTGAACTCACCTAACTTGAACGAATAGACAGTTGAAATCCATACTTCCCTCCTCCTCACTCACGGATTCAAAACTCAACTAAGCATATTCATATTAGAATTATCTAACATCTATTTTCACACTTTGCTTGTCTGTATGTTTAGCTGAACTGATCGGGCCAATTTTTTATGGAAACCTATATGACATGACATGATATGACGTCAATGTTGAACAATCTTTCCCGGAATAGAATGACGACAATCAGTACTTTTTAAAATCCGCCAATTTAAGTAGAAAAATCTGCTAAAATTTGAGAATGATTAAAAGCGATTTCGCTTGGTCCAACTTTGACATACTATGATTGTTAAATCAAATAGTATGTATTTTCTCGTTCATTTTCATCTATATATAAATTTGGCTTGTCTGTCTGTTTTTTTGTCTGTCTGTTTGTATCCAATAAACGTCAAAACGGCTGAACCGATCGGCCCCTCTCAATTCCTTCTTTTAAACAAGAAATGCACNTTTGAAAATTTTGAAAATCCACGAAATTTTTTGTGAAAACCCGCGAATTATTTTTGTTTTGTTTTACGATGTACACAAAGAGAACATGTTCACAATTAATTTAGAAGATGGGCGCGAAGCACCCTCTAAGGCTAGTTAACTTATATTTGCATTTGTTTTGTAGCTGTCGTCAATTAGGATTAAGAAAATATTCCAAAAAAAGAATAAGAAAAATGTTAATTGTTATTATTCGAACAAACAAAAATACATGGGATACAAAAAAAGGCCTGAACGAAAATTAATTAATAAAGATAAGGAAATATAATTGCTGCATTAAGAGGGATTGGTCCTTAAATACTTGGTTACCCACAAAGGATGAGACTGTAAAGAAGACCTGTAACTCTCAAAATTTGGCGATTTTAACGTTGAATGGAATGGTCTGTATTAAATGTAGTCTTTAAATAGCCAATTTAATGATTTGGCAAAAATCGAAACCTGATTACAGTTGCAGAGAGTTATGAATATAAGAAAACAGACATTGTAAATTCCGTACAGTCGTCTCTGAAGTCTCATCCTTTGCGGGTAACCCTGTATTCATTTTACTTTTCCTTCTTTTATTTAATAGATGCAGTGAATAAAATTTAAACACAAAGAAAAGAATTCTTTTGCTCCATGCATGTTATGCAAATAATCATTATTCTATTCGTATTATTTCAATGATTTATAAAAACCGCAAAAAAAATTTCGTCGGAGATATACCAGCTTAAACTAAATCAATGAAAGTCTATGTGTAATCGGTCGTTCAGTAAAATCGTTTGTTCAATAAAATCGTTTGTTGAGTAAAATCGTTTGTTCAGTAAAATTGTTTGTTCCTTAAAATCGTTCGCTCAGTAAAAGTTTTTTTTTTCAAAAATGTAAAGAAAAATCGTTCGTTCATTTAAAAACAATCGTCATTTAAAAAGTGAGTTCCATAAAATTGTTTGTTCAGGAAAAAACAATTGTTTTTTTTTTAAATTCATTTGAACGATTTCAAATTGTTCGGGGTCTTTTCGTTAATTTTTTAAAAACAATCATTTTTCATTTCTACGAACGATTCATTTGTTCGTCCATCGTTAATTTTTTTCACAAAAAAATTTCATTTGTTCTCAAAAATTTTGTTCGTTCAAAAAAACTATGCCCATCTTTTGGCATGGAACGCCTACCCCCTATAGCGTTTTATCATTTCAACACAATTTTAGACATCACAGACAACGTTTTGACACTTGCAAATATCTATTAACGTAAGAAATTGAGTCTTTGTCACAGACTCAAATTTTCTAAATACTATAACTTTGTTACAAAATGGTGTGAACATTCGATATTTCAAATTTAGATTATTTGATCTGACAGGAATCATAGTTTGAAATATCTAAGATCTACGACATTGGGGTTCAAAGATATAGGGATTAACAAATCAGAGGTTGTGTCAAAGACTCAATTCCTTTGATTGTGAAAATACTTTAAGAAGCCCCGGCGTGAGATTTAAAAGTTTCGCCTTGATGGATATTTCGGTATTTATAGATTCTTACCGTGCACCTATTATTTTCTAGGGTAGCTGATACTCCATCCATGCAGTCTTCATTCTCAGAGTTTTTAAGAACCTTACAGGTCTCTTCTCCTAGGCTCCATTGGCATATATCCACATCATCATCAGCACTATATATATATATATATATATATAAATATATATATATATATATATATATATATATA